ACAGAAATTGGTCTGTGATGCTGACAAAATGGTGAAATATGCGAAATATATGTTCTGTTGAGCCGCAGCAGAATAAATCGCCTTGACTAGTGATGAGTGAATTCGAAATTAAATGCGTAGGGTGATAATAGCAAAGTCGTGAAATGATATGTGCATCGACGGGTGATATTCGTTGCTCCACTGCAATTGATAATAATCATAAAATATGAAGTCAGTGAACGTTGTCGTCTGCGTTATGACAGATGCATCGAGTTATCGTTGAATATGTATTAGTAGAATGACCAGAGGAACAGAATAGTGACTGAGTAGACGAGGTACATAGAGTCGTATTCCTTTTTGGTCATGAAGCCTAGAATGGTTTGAGGGAGATGCGCTCGATCTCGTTTGTTACAAAACCGTACCAAGGCATGACAGAAATACCAATACATATGATTAGTGATGGCGACGCATGAGACTGACTTGGATGTGACGAACAAGAGTGTATCTTTGAGAGGCTAGCTCTAAACTCTATGTTCTGATATACCGAGCGATGGGTATAGAATAGTAGTTGCAGTACTCGAATAGCGTTTTCGAGTGATAAGTGATGAAGAATGTAGTTATGCACGTGGAAGAATAGATAAAATGAGCGTAATGGTTACTAATCAGCTAGTCAGAAGCATCCACAGACATAATAGGAGGCGATTTCGAAATGAAAACTGTATGTTGTGATAACATAAATTGCGGACCTCGACTAAGTGAATGAATGTAATATTAGATCGAAATGACATGAAAAATTGGAACGAACTCACTTAAAGCAGGAAAATTTCACGTTTTTGAATAGTAAAAATATTCCAATGAGTTCTAGATGCCATTACGTAAAGTGGAATTTTCATAAAATAATAATTTGTTCGGTGAGTAATATGATTGCGAAAATGTCATGATTTAATGACAGCACGAACAAGATTAATAATTCCACATTCGGTCATGATATTGATAATAATGTAATAATAAGCATTTAATGAAAATTTGAATCGTAATGGAACAATCCGAAAAATGTATCAATGAGGATAATTGACATGAGGACAAAGTATCGATAAGATAATACGACTTGAGCATGTCCATGTCATGTTGCACAGGCTGTGCTGATTGCGTCGGATTGGAGATTGCGCTGGCTTCGCTGAATATGTTCGTCGAACGTATAGAGTGCAGAAGTGCCTTCATCGACGTAGCTTGCTGCGTTGCGTTCGTCGTCGGCGGGCTCACCACTTTTGTGGCCCGTGAATCTGACTCCATTTAGATTGTATGAATGTTTGTTATCGCTGATTCTCGTTTATCATCGTCGACTTAAATCACGTTAGTCAATAACGGAATTTAGATAAGTCAAATAACGAGAATGGGATTTTGAATACATATATTTTATATGTAAAGTGAATGTAATAGAACAGAGCAAATTGACGCGCTTGGAAGATGGCTGGGAAGCCAACTCCGTTTTAGTCAAGTGTTATTCCATATTTATAGGCAGACAAAATAAGCTACAGACATACAATGAATCATGTGACATGAAATGTACACTCATATACGCTCATATAAAAAAACAGTCAAGACTGACAAGCGAATAATTGACAAGGTCAATATATGGCTCAAGTAAAAATGAATAAAATAGGATGTCCGGAAGTTAGAATAAAGGTATATGGGCTTGCCATAATAACTGACACTACAAATCTACACTAAACTTTTCGTTGTTTAATTTCATAAACACAAGCAGAGTACTACTCCTGAAATGTTTCACGTCTTGAATTACCTTCAATTACCGTATTTATATTAAACAATAAATTTTAGCTCAAGTCTATATGTTTGTGGTGGTCAGTATTCAACATAATCCTTAAGCTTCGTATACAGTTAGTCCTAATAATCGTCACTAGGATACACCCCAAAGGTGTATTATTCAGAAGGTGAATACGAAGATCACTAAAATTACAGATACACTAAGTAAGCATGAAAGAGTTGTGCCGACAAGCGAGTGAGCATGCAAGTCGAAGCAGCGAGCGGGAGAACAGGATTGAAATGTATATGAAATGAATGAATTATAGTAAATCTGTCAGAGTTGATATAGGCGTAGGCAGTAAGCAATGCTCAAGCATACACATTCATACAGGTGCAATAATAATAAAGATACAATGGATAAGTTGTTATTGTACGGATGACTCTATCCGTTAAATAAGTTAACAAAAGGGCTTAACCAAATTACATGTGAACAAACTCAATTGCACGTGAGGTGCTATATGTTTTTCATTACTAAAGTTGAATATTAACTAGCTACGAAGTATATGATTTGGATTTCTTTTTGTTTGGGATTTGTCATAGGATTCTCCTTGCATTAGTGTCGATTTTTACATGTGGACTCGAACCCGATACCTTTAACGTCGAATTGTAACGCACTGTCCAGAAAGAATATAAATGGGATGAAACATTCTCCTATGCTTTTTATTGTGTTTCCTTCTTTTTAAGTCTACACATTTTTGTAATCACTAAAACAACCTCTATAATAAAAATATTTTTTGTTATATCCTAATGACTGGAAAAATTTTAAGTCACTCTGAAGATTAGGTTTATATTAAGTCACCCAACATTAGAAATATAATTTTTTCAACTCAGTGAGAGATTTAAAACAACTAATCCCTTTGATAAATTTCGATGATGCAATGAGAAGACGAAGATTATCAAAATTGTGATATATTTGCTCCATACATTTTGAACAATCTGATCACACATATAATTGTTAAGACATTTTTATATGAAAAATGGTTGCAGAAACAAATGGATTCCAATGGTCAAATAAGATCACAGGTTAGACAAACATCATCCTCCATTGCGAAACATTTGATTGAGACGGGTCATAAGGTTGACATCAAATCAGCATTTGTAGTGTTATACAAAAGCCTTCAAGGACGTATACCATGGTTTATGGTAGCTTTGGTTATACGGAAATCGAAACCCCCTTTATGTGTTCAAAAACAATTTGTCCTTACACTTAACCTACCCTGGTATTACTGATTTGTTATCCAGAGTGGTAATCACATTGTTTTTGTGTAATTTAGTACTATTGTTTTCTTTTTTACGGCTTACCTTTAACCTGTCTAGTTGACCTTTCAATTTTCATAGAACAAATGTCTTAACAAGTATATGTGTGATCAGATTGTTCGAAATGTATGGAGCAAATATATCACATAATTCTGATAAACTTCGTCTTCTTATTGCATTATCAGTAAAATATAATAAAAATAAATATATATGATTGGACAATTATTGGTTCTCTTAACAACTTAAGCACACCTCCCGGAAGCCTCTAGAAGCTCAAGATCACCCAGTTTTTCAGTTTCTGTATAAAAATAAAATTTAGAAGATCTCAGTAGACTAGAAAACAGTTATTATATCGGTATCTAAGCTTTTAAGTTAAAGATGCGATACCAACTCAGTATCCTAATGATTAACATGCAAATATTTGAACAAATGAAAGTTGAATTTTAAGTTTCAAATGACATCTATCTACATAACTGGAGGTACATTCAGCTGATAAGGATCACACTTTGGCTTTACGTTCTTCCAATTCTGCACCCAGTACACAGGCTTCCTATATCCAAGCTCAACCAACTATATGAATGAGAAAACCAACATTGACTAGAAAGCTTTAAGATAATATATATATATATATATATATATATATATATATATATATATATATATATATATATATATATATATATATATATATATATATATATATATAGTGAGAGCATATCTGATTAGTACAGTGTCAAAAACCTGAATAATGTAAAACCACCATCGAAAACCTGGAAGCACTGGGTCAGTTGTGAGATAGCAACTTACTGATAACAATGGTGGATGTGTCGCTCAATTTCGTGGATTAGTTGATTTTAGACATTACCACCACTGGATGCCAGTTCAGTGGTCTAGTGGTTAAGTGCTCATGCGCAAGACCAGTAGGTCCTAGGTTTGGATTTCGCGAGGCGGGACCGTGGATGCGCACTGCTGAGGAGTCCCATACTAGAACGAAACAGCCATCTAGTGCCTCCAGGTATTCCACGGTGGTATAGCTACAACTGACTCATGATCTCAACAATTGAAATTACTAAAATCTCCACAAAAGACCCCTTCTGATTTAACTTTATGGTGTGTTCATTTATTAAATTTGTGAATTATTTATGATGAATAATACTCAATTTACGGTGTACAAATCTGACAATCAGCGTAACTTATATCACAATTAGTGTGTTCAGATTATGTTTTGGTTTATTTTTGGTGCTAAATAATTCCTTATTAACCGTCTTTATGTTGTTACTTGAGTCATCCAATAGACAATTTAATTATTAATATGTCAAATATTCCTCAGGTACACTAAAAACAGTAAATTATTTACTTCAGTTCACTTAAATGTCTTGTGTGAAATCTTGACCTGAGGTTATATTATCTTATTTCATCCAAGTTGGATGTAACCATCAATAATTAGTGATAAATTGTCTAAAAGACGACAATTGTTAGTTTATGACACTATGATTCTCAAGAAATCTTCACATACCATGTTTCAGTCACTTCAAATCTCTTATAACTTCAATGAACCTGTTTATTCTATGCTCTTTTTATTAGCATTGATTTTCTTGTTATTCTCAAAATCTATACCAAGCAAAAAAAGACAAAGAAGTTATGCTAACGTGTTGTTATTTCATTAATTAGTAGAAGATTGACCTATTGTCAATGATTTTATTACAGATATATTTATTTAACTGATCCATTAATACTAATACTAATACTAATGATAATGTGTGTATTTCGATAAGGAAGTGTAAACGTTTTGATTTTTCACCACTATAAATAGTAGTAGTACATTTAAATATTACTGTTTGTAACCTTTGTACTTATTTTTATTCATATCTCAAATAGAGTTGATTGCTTTGTAATCAATTATGCATGTTTATTTGTCTTTTCACCTACGTGTGTTCATACTTGTGTACAGCTCGGTAATTAAGAAAAGAAACAATTCAGCTCATAGGTTATTTTACACAAAATCTCATGCTTATACATTGTAGATTCAAAATGTGACCTAATTGAATAGATACACAATTGATTATATATATATATATAACTTGTACATAGTTCATAACTTACATTGTTCTTCATTTTAATTAAGATAACAAGAGTAAGTTAATGCATTTTGTGTCATGGTTCAGTTTATGTTTAGTTCGTTGTATTCTATCAGGAAAACAACATCATTTTACATGCAAAACGAGTTTATAAAATATTAACGATAATATAGGTAGTGGTTTTAAATATCTAATGAAATATATTTATTAAATAAACTTGTTTGGTATATATGTAGTAGTAGTAGTAGTTTGAAGTAACCCGTTGTTGATTCACAAGAGAATCTTGATCAGTCTTAACCAGCATATACGTATCTTGTGAGAACTGCCTCGGCATAACGATTATATCATAAGCTATTTCGCATAGATTGATTATGGATAGCAGTGGAATCCAGGACGCGGCTTTCGTTCTATTTTGAAACTCGTCAACTCGAAATACCTCCAACCCAGTGTTGTTACTCACGTGGGAGCGTATATATATGGAAAACATGTTAGTATATATTTTATCCAATTCATTGTATGCTACAAAATACTCTGATATAGTTCAGAGTATTTTCTTAACAAATCTATCTCAATAAAAATTATCTTAATTATTTGATTATACTCTTCTACATCACAGTGCAATTCGCTAACTCGTATAAAAAATATTGATGCATCAGTTTAAAGCCTTCACTCAAAATTCTTTCATTTTAATAGTTTTTTTTGTCGAAAGTATGAAGTTGGTAACTAAAATTATCTAAGAATATAGATCTTCATACCAATAGTGTAGTTATTCAACAGACATGAAATTATTTCTGGCAAACGTCACTTAATGGGATAACATTTCATGAAACTACAGGAAAGATATACGATTCAGATGAATATTGCTGATGGTCCTATGTTGTTTAATCTGGATGGTTTAGTTGTAAGAGATTTGGAGAATAGTTAGAAAATATTTCGCGTATAATTGAAGTTTAGAACGATATTTTCTATTACGATGATTTACATTTTACAACTAAAACATTCAGCTAAGCGAATTCAACAAACATACATAACAAAAAAGTAACCATCTAAACTGTAAATATTTTCATTAACTATTGGAGTAAATGTTAATATGTAATTATAGTCATCAAAAATAACTTCTTTTAAGAAAATATTTAAGATAGGTCGTAACTGATCAAATAGTTCAAACTTAGAAGGTGGGTTTATTTTCTTGGACATTTAACAAAGCTGACTGGTGATCCACTATTTTTTTTAAAAAGTAGCTTAAAATGTATGAATTTCATATAAAAGATGAAAGGTTGAGAAAGACCACGAATCAACTGAAGTTAGACATTAACATCGTTAGATACCAGTTCAATGGTCTAGAGATTAAGCGTTCGTGCGTGAGACCGAATATCATGGGTTCACCTCTCACGTGAGGGATATTGGATACGCACTACTATGGAGTCCTATACTAGGACGTAACGGTCATCCAGTGCTCTTGTGTTTTTAATGCTGGTCTAGCTGAGATCGACTCATGAATTCAGCTACTTAAATTACTACAATCTCCACAAATTCCCATTCTGATAAAAGATACCTTTTTAAAAAAATCTCTATCTCTTATGTGTAAAACAGACTAAATATAAAATACATTGAAATATTATTCTGCATAAATACAACTTAATCGATCAACAGTTTGTATCAATCGAATCATATCAGTTGTATCATCGAATAAATACATACCACCGAAATAATGGATACTATTTTAAAGCATTCAGAATACATACTAATGGTAATTAACTAAACTATATCTGAATTCAATGATACCATAACTTTTGATTAAACAATTATCAGTATTTATCAAAGGTTCAAAGTCAACATATTTTACTAAGTAATAAACTAAATATCTTCAACAAATGAATTATTTGTGAATATTTTGTTGATTTTAGTTAAATTTTAAGGATGGCAAGAATTGGCAAAGGAATTCAATCATGTCTATCCTGGATTCATCAAAGAGATGGTAGGGTGCCATCAAATGCAATTGATGCAGGTCATGCTGTTTATATTGCTCGTATATATCATTCTGGCGATCTAATTCCTGGTAAAGTTGTACCACATTTGGGCAAAGCCTATGTTAGTTATGATGGAACAGAATATGAATTCGATTCATATGAGGTATTATGTGATACAAAATTACCACATGGTCCCCAACAGTGGTATGTTATCATAAGAACGATTACATTTTACATTGAAATGTTGTTGACTAAACACCTCCCTCAGCGACTATCAAATATTTAGATGCGGTTCACTTTATTCTTAATAACATAGGACTCATGATTGTACTATAAATTCATTGGAAGTATTTGTTTAGCACGAATTACTAAGCAAGGATGATATATCAGTCACTACTCAGTATGTATATCTCAATCCTTCAGAAATTTAGTCTCTGCCCAAATATCTATATGGTATAGCCTTATTAATTTTAATACTGAGTGATATGGTTTTTAATCCTACGAAGAGTACCAAGTTCCTCAAGGTTACACATCAACCTTATTAACGATTTCTAACTATCATGAAACTTATTTATAGAACTACTTGCCTTCAACATCCCAACATTAACTATGTACATATAAAAATTTCTAGTTTGTCAGGCCTAATGGTAGAATAATATCTCAATAGAACTAATCACTTTAAAGATACTTTCTAACTCTTAGGTAACCCTATATACAGCCAATTTTCTAAGAATAAAACAATATAAACTGTAACAAAATCGAATCTTTAATAATAATTCAAAATTAAAAATATTTCTTTCCAAAAACATAAATCAAAATATTATGCAATCACTTTCAAACATTAGTGTTCTAGATAATCATAAGTCTTGCGGATTGAACGCTATATTCATCTCCTAAGCTATTCTGTAACCCCCAAACTAGAAGTATACAGTGACCTGAACACGAAAGAGAAGACTCAAAGTATGCGAGAAGTAGTTTACTCCAAGGTTCATTGTAATACAGAAAATACAGTTTTTATATTTTAAATGTCCTTGGGTTGCTAGAAGATTCTGGAATGCTACTAAACATAGTAGCAGTGTAGCAGCCAACCAATCAGAGCTTCTGCATGTGACGTTCCTTGATATTTTTGGCCAAGATTCCAAGTGAACGCTGATTGGATGAAACGCTCCTTAGTGTTTCCTGATGTTTGCTTATCTTTTGCAAGCAATTTTCTGGATCACCCCAACAGATAACAGTTAAAGTTTTTTTAATGCTATTGTCGTTTATTATTTTTTTAAAAATATCCTAGCTACAAATGGGAACGACATAGTAATGGATATGTTCCTAAATATGCCGTTGTTGGAGGTATCACTTCTTCCAATGAACCACTTTATATAGCTCGAGAATATATTAATGGTGAACGTGTAGTTGGAAAAGTAAGTCACTTTATTCTAGAGATATTATATATGATTCTAAAATAATGTAATAAATGTGTTAGTCTATTATAAATGTAAAACAATAAATAATCATTATTGGAGATTTAGGTTATCTAGTTGTTAATATTTAGAACTTAATTATAATAAAATTCATACTAATAATGATCTAAGTATAGTTCCTTTTAAACAAGTTAGTAACTAGCTGAACTGAATAGCTCAGTGAATGAAACATTAATGGTTTGCAGAACAAGGTTATATATATATATATATATATATATATATATATATATATATATATATATATATATATATATAAATCCTAATGTAAATATTAACAATAAGATCCAAGTATATCAAGTTCATTAGTCCCAGATAGAATGACACTCTCACATTGGTTTTCATTGTCAACCACAATCCATCTATTTTCTAATATAAATCGACATTGTAGTTTTTTATTATTCTTTTTTCAATATAAGAAAAAACATACATAGCATTGATGGATAGTGGCTAACAGTGGAATCTAGGACACGCGTTTCATTCTATTTGGGATTCGTCAGCTAGATGTATCTGTATTCCAGAGTTGATGATCACTCTGGGAAGATACAAATAAAAACAACACCAAATGAATTTATAAATATACATAGTTTGTAAAACAGAAAAGAACGAATGACTAATCCGGTATATTGAATAAATGCATATTTCATAATTTCATCAGCTACTCTTATCAGTTTATATTAGAAGGATCACAAAAACAAACGTATTATCCTCATGAAAATAACAAATCGATTAATTAATCGCAATTTACATGAGTAGCACGTACATTATCTTAGTTTATTGATTATTGTACTATGATATAATCAATAAATTGATATTATAAACAGATTATTTGAACCACTTTTTTCTATTCAGTTCTCAGAAGTTTTCAAACTACACTTTTTCTACGAATGATAAACACATAAGAACTGAATGAGAGAAAAAAAGCACATTCATTACAGGAGAATATATATATAACCATGAGGTTTATTTATTGATTTACGTTCAATTTTATTGATCGACTCTATAATGTAACCACACTAGTGAACTTTATATGATGTTAGATTCAGAAAATCTTGAATTTTAGTTTCTTGTAGGTTGATACATGTCTGAGTGGTTTACATGTAGTCTTAGCAAAGCTAATGCATTCTTACTGATTCTAATTCAGTACTCTAGTTAGACACATTATCACTAACATTCAATTTGAATAACCATAAAGCTTCTTCAAATAATATACGGTACTTGTTTTTGTTAAGACTTTTTGACTTTAAGATTGGCTCTGAATATATTCCAGCAAATTCGTGTAGTACTTTAATAAGACAAGTAACTCAGAAATTGTGATTTTGTATTTTACAAATACAAAAAAACACATTTATGAATATCAAACAGATATTCCATTATATAATATGCTCTCATCAGTTAATCACATATCTAACGGAAACATTTTTGAGTAAGGATAAATTATATAGACTTTTGAATCATACAGTTTAATTAACAGTTGTACATAGTCCTAAAGTGTCCTATACTAGGGAAGAAATAATTGTTTAATGATTTTAAATCATCATTAGTTTATTAAGGTCAATTTATGATGTAAACTATATAATACAAACATTTATAATAGATTCATATGTTCTTATCTTAATTAATTTTATTGAAAAGGTTCATGAAAGTCATGAATGTGCTTATTTCCCTTATGGTGGTCAAGAGAGAAAAATGCATCATTATGAAGTTCTTGTATTAATTAAATGATTACAAAAAAGAAAAGGAAAAGAGAAAAATACAGACAATACCCAAACCACAATTATCGTAAATTGAATTCTTTTTTCACTTTTAGAATAAAAAAATCAATCTTAATTAGCTTCATTTATTATTTCATCAATTCTTATTCAGGATTTTTGTTACTAACCGATTATTGACTATTGAAAAATACCTACATTTTTTTTGAAAACCCAAATGATAATCATGTTTTCCGAACAAAATCTATTTGTCATAATTATTTTTCTTATTAAATTCATATGTAAGAATAGCATAATCTGTTATATGTTTCTTGACTATTTCTTTAATAGTATCAGAAGAGGTTTTGTGGAGATTGTATTAATTTCAATAGTTGAGATCGTGAGTCAGTTGAAGCTAGACCACCGTCAAAAACCTGGAATCACTGAACAGCCGTTTCGTCTTATTGTGGGACTTCCCAACAGAGCGAATCTACGATCCCATCCCCCCTGCAAGATTCGAACCCAGGGCCTATCAGTCTCTCGCGCGAACACCTAAACACTAGATCACTGAGCCGGCATCCAACGGTGTTAATGTCTAACATCATCTAATCCACAAGATTGAGCGACACATTCACCATTGTTATCAGTGAGTTCCTGTCTCACAACTGACTCAGTGCTTCCAGGTTTTCGATGGTGGTCTATATTCAATTGACTCATGGTCTCAACTACTGATATTTCTTTAATATATAATGTCAACTATATGGAATTTTTAGAAGCCGAAAAGCGTTGCATAGTGTTTTACATTAGTTTCGATAGAAATTACTCATCAAAGCTAAACTAACACAAGACAAATAACAGATAGAAAGATTTAAAACTATTTACTTCATTATGGCAACTTTTATTCCTTGGACTATCGAAATAAGTGTTATTATAATGAAATAATAAACATTAAATAATTTGACATAATCCATTGTGATCGAGAAAGCAGGTGGGGATAACCAAAATATTTTATTACAAACTTGCAGAGTTCTTTGATAAATTTGTGAAAAACATACATTCAATACTTGATTTGCAAATCCTTTATCAATTACCTCAGTCTTCATTATTCCTTCATTATTCCTCTATTCCCATTCTCTCTGATTCAAACTTCCCAAGTTTCTGCTGCCAGATATTCTATTCCTGATTGATGTTATAATACTATTTACATAGACATAAGTAGCATACACCACAACCCTTCCAAAGGTCATTGATAATCATACATATATTTAATTATCAGTGACCTTGGAAAGAATCATATATATTCTGAAAAGGGTTACGTAATATTTGCTGATTTGCAGAGAATGTTAGTTCGAGCACGAATTTGAAAAATTAGGACCTCATTATTTGAAAAGACGTATGTTATCAATTATTTTGAGTGAAAATATGATGCACTAAATACAAACAAAATGTATGATCAAAGTGGAAATAATTGAAGTACATAATATCTTTTTCTGTAGCTGATTGTATTAGTTACAAACTATGTACGCACAGAACTATCTTTACTAGTGTATGAAAAAGATAAACATAACTACAACGTCAGATGCCAAAGAAAGAAAGCTAAACCTTTTATTCACCAGAGTTTCATAAACCCTTTCATTTTTCAGTATTAACTGGTAACAAGTGTTTTGGGCTGTTTAAGGTTGAGTGGTTGACTTTATAGTTTGTTTAATTTGTAGGAGAGAATCGAGTTTATAACAAGAGAATTATCAAAGGCGTACAATCTAAGCTGAATTACATAAACGTTGTAGTGAAATTTACGAAAAAAAACACCAAGTATTTCATGAAATTTTGATGCTACGATGAGAGTAACTACTTTCAAATAAATATCTCAAGATCTTAAGAACCATTGACCTGTTGTGAAAGATATCGAATATATTCTACCAAACATCCTTATCTCGATGAAAATTAATGAACTGAATTTGCAAGCATTATGTGTTTGTATAATTATCCGATCAAACGTAAAACGATAAGGCAACTAAAGAGTTTAACATTTAAAGACTCCCAAGGATAACACACACTGTGGAAACAATAATGAAACAAGTGTGTTGCCGTAAACGTTGAGTATTTTATAAGTGATGATATGTGTAATTATACAAGTCATATGAACTGATCATTAATTCACTTATAGTAATACGGCATTTTATTAATCGTCATACAAAATTAAACGTCGAGGCTTTCTTTCTTACATCATCAATATTCAAGTCAGTTGAGAAACAAAGCATAAATGTATTTGTATCAGAAGGGGTTTTGTGGAGATAGTAGCAATTTCAACAGTTGAGATCATGAGTGAATTGAGTAAACCAAATATTTAACAGTTCGATTCAAAAAGTACTTTGTAATAATAGAAGTAGCAATATTCCTGAGGCTTTAAAGACAAAGAACCTAGACACCAATCGTTGATGTTAAAAATATAACAGTTTCATTGACATTGTTACAAAAATAATAACCGTGTAATGTCTGGTAAAAAAATGGAAATTTCTCTAATGTAGGTGACTAGTTATTGATTAATAAAAGATTTTAAAAAACAACAACAATAAATTGAGTTCTTTGAAATGGTTTAGATTCAACGAAATTTACTTTAACTACCCATAACACAAAGATTTCATTTAGAAATCACATAATGGCCCATATAACCTTGCAGTAGTGATAAGAATTACGTTGAATATACACTAATAATTAACTGAACTCTATATTTCTATATGGATTTCTTTATGGATTCACATTCACAATGATTAGTACAGATTAGTGAACGAAATCAAATTCAATAGTATAAGACTAAAAATAGTTTCAGTCAAAAATAGTTGCAGTATAGGATTGTGGAGATTATTAGGTTTTTGATTGAGATCATGAAGTGATTAATGTTAGACACCCATTGAAAACCTGGAAGCACTGGACGGCCTTTTCGTCCTATTATTGGATTCCTCAACAGTGCCTATCCACAATCCCGCTCGCGGGATTCAAACGCAAGCAGTATACTGAAGCTTATTGAAGCCTTAATCATACGAAAATTTAAACCCACTGCATATATTCAAAAACAGTTTGTTCTTACCCTAAACCTACCCTAGTAAAATTAGCACATTATCCAGAATGATGAGTTTTCACATTATTTTCTTTATTATCTTTGTCTCCTCTTACATCTCCATTTGTTTAGATGACCTTCTATTTCTAAATGTAAATGTTCTTAAGAAATGCATTATGTGTGATCAAATTGTTCGAAATGTATTGTGCTAATAAATCACATAGTTCTGATAATCTTCGTCTTTTTATTACACTATCGAAATAGTCAGATATATCAAAGTGACAGATCGTGGAGAAGATTTGTAGCTCAGGTGGATGATTTTGGTGGAGTTTTGTTCTCTGAGCTGGATGGTTTGGTCGTGGAGCTCCCCGGAACGCCAACGTACAATTTGTCAAAAGAAATTTCACGAATACTGAGACATCTAGTAGATTCAGCCAAGCACTCCATCAAATCCCCAACAAAATTCCTGGACCAAATTAAGGATATTCAAATCAACAACGACGAACTCATGATATCCTTCGACGTAACAGCACTGTTCACCTCAAATGAACCACAGTTAACAAAAGAAACTATATCCCTGCTGCTCAACAACGACACAAATCTCACCAAATACACGAAGCTTCAAATTCAAAGTCTACTGGAACTCATCGATTTATGCCCAACAACATATTTTCAGCTCAACAACAAAATCTACGAACAAACGAAAGGGACACCAATGGGATAACCAATATCAGGACTGATCGCAGATGCACTGATGCAAAGACTAGAAGCCACTATATTACCAGTGATCAAGCCAAAAATTTGGATCCGCTATGTAGACGACACCTTCGTCATCGTCAAAAAGGATGAACTGGAAAACACTTACAAACTGATCAACAACGTTTTCAATGACATCAAGTTTACAATGGAACAGGAGTCAAACAACCAACTAGCATTCTTTGACATATTGATCACTAGAACCGACACAGGAAAACTGGAAACTCAAATATATAGGAAACCGGCCCATATAGATTAAATTCTTAACTACAATAGCCGCAACCCAAGAGCTCACACATTGTTCAAGAGGGCGAGGACACACTGCAGCACACTGGCAGCACGAAAAAATGAAGAGAAATACCTGAAGGACATATTTCAAAAGAACAGCTACCCAATCAACTTCATCAAAAACACCAACCGCACGCAGCATCAGAACCCAAGTTAAGCACAAAAATTAACAAAAGGATCACCCTACCATATATACAAGGAATATCAGAAACCTCAACGAGACTGCTGAAGACCTTCGGGATAGGTGTGGCAAACAAACCGACAAAATCACTACAATCAATCATATGCAAACCAACGGATGAAATAACAAAGGAAAACAAATCAAACATCATCTAAAAAATAAATTGTATCAACTGCGACAAACACTACATCGGACAAAGCGGACGCCCTCTCCACCTACGCCTACATGAACATCAATTAGCAGTCAAACGTCATGATATCTCTTCACTTATATCAATACACGTGGATAACTACGGAAATTCATTCGATTGGGAAAATGTAGAAATCTTAGACAGAGGAAACTCCAAAAACACCAGAGAATTTTTAGAAGCCTGGCACTCAGGTCAATCAGCAATCAACAAACATATTGAAACCAACCCAGTTTATCAACCAATCAGGAAAATCATGCATAAATATAGGAACAAAAATCAAACCAATGGGGGACACAGCCAAAACAAAGAAGTAAACAATGATAAATTTAAGGTCAATAAGAACCAATCAACATCGAGGTGCACAGAATAAGCTGTGAAACACATATGGAGAAATTCGAACACTTCACTTCTATCTGAAGTTTGTACCGATGATGTCGTTCAGAAGAACGATAAAAGCTCCACGACCAAACCATCCAGCTCAGAGAATAAAACTCCGCCAACAGTGACAGATCATATACACTTTCGAAACATAAAATAAACTTTTAATATTTATTTATTTAGTATAGTTGTAATGATAATAAATAATTAATTATTGTCAAATTCATAAGGATCAATTTTTAAATTAAATACATTTCTTTGTTAAAACAATTTTTTAGTAAATAAGCAAATGTAACGTTTATTTTTCAATATTTCAAAGTAAGTACTTCATAATATTCACATTTACGCTCATCTCCACCCCATGGAAAACATCCCGAGCTTTCACCTTGAATTAACTGATATAATAAACAAAAGAGAGATGGAGAGGGGGGGGTGATTCATTACTGAATTATTACAAGGTATGAATAATAACTATAG